AACTCAAATTATTGCTGTTATTTGCCTATTTTCCTCTGTTAAAAAAGGTAAAAGCTACTAATTTGTTTGATTCATGAGTCGCAGTGTATTGTTGTTAATCAATAACTCGACTGTAATAAGAGTTACTAGTGTCAATCGGTTAATGTAGTGTTAGTCAAGTGATCGACCATATTACCTACATATCTCAATAAAGACACATCTATATACATTTCCTAACGATGTAACTTGATACCATATCTAACAAATAATTTTGATGTTATTTGTAATTTGTAGTGTAATTTTAAAAGTTTCAAAATCAATACACCATTGCAGTTTAGTCATTAGCACTGAGTGCATTCTAATTGCATACAAAGTTATTTGTCTATTTCCTGTACGTGATTTCTCCGGCGCAGGAACCTCTTACGTTTGTATAAAAATCAAGAACTAATGAACAGGAATATTGCGGCACACATTGATGCCTGTCAAAAGAGCGATTGATAAATTGTGCAATATACACACGTTCATGTTAATTTCAATGTCGACCTCAACATACATTAGCAGAGAACACGAATCGAAATCGGCATTTAGAGATTCTAATTGGACAATATCACAATGTGAGATCGATTTTCTTTCAGTGTAAATTTCACGGTTATGACCTGCTTTTAGTCGGTTGGATTTACTATTAAAACATATCAAGAAATGTACTTTGAGTGCTTCTAGCAAATTATTAGTAATCTGTTAGGAGCGATCATTGAGACGTACTTTAAAGCCGAATATACCATATTTATATATATTTTAAACTAGAATATACGACTGTATTGCTATGCATTGTACACGGTGACATGAGTTCGATTAATGACCCTTCTACAGTGACTGGTAGATATAGATGTTGCCCAAGGTAGAGCAAACACTTGCATAATACATGCAAATAGTCTCATTAACATGCATTAACTGCATTCAATATTGGTGCATTTCTTTTTACATTCATTTTGTAAGACTTTAACGGGTGTTTTTATACACACATTCAACACGGAATCATTAAAAACACAATCAATCAATATATTACATATGTATTACTTCATTACAATTAAAATGAATATTCCGATAACTAAGCAGGATATACACAGGCACACATGTGTGAAATTATTCGCCATTATTCATTTCGTTGCATACACATATGTTGTGTTGTAAAACTAAACGTGTTTTTGCATGTATATCATATATTATGACATTTAGTGTAATGAACTAGTGTCATGATTTTTGTCATAAATCGGTAATAACAACTCCGGTAATCTGACTGGTTTATGCAAGTATATTGAAATTTAAAAAAAAAATATATTATAATATATTATATAATATATAATGGGTGACATTAAGGCCGTTCAAAGGGTCGATATCGTTTTGATCTGTAGCCGTCCATCAATACAGATTATGTTTATGAGAGATTTTGCAACATTTTAGATGACGAACGGCTACACGTCTAAACACAGTTGTCGATTTAATGGACGTTGATTTTGACGTCACAGAAGCGAAATTATAAATGAAATCCAAGACGTTATTCTCTAGCTCATTATCTTGCAATGAATCCCGATAATTCCAACACTGTAGAGTAATTGACATTCCAGGTCGTGTATTGCTATAGTTGCAGTTACAATAGAAGATATAAAATATCTTAATTAAAAACTACATTTAATTGTTTAGTTGCATGCATAACCGTGATAATTTAAAGAGAATTTTTAGTTTGCAATAATGTTGCCAACCAATTACACGAATGGGAAAATGCACTCACAATTAATTAATCGATATCCAACTAATAATCAATGAAAGAAACATATGTCTAATTACCTAGTAAATCAATATAAGTAAATTCAATATAAGTTCCACCAAAACAAATATATGCACGCATCAGCGAGAATTGCCAATATATGTGGTATCCGGGTATCAGATAAAAAGAATGGTTTCTTTATTTGTTATCAATTAATATGAGGTTAATACGAGGATACTTGAAAGTATGCACGAAGACAGTACATCTGAGTATCGACCGACGCACAACGGAGGTCGATGGACGGCATACTGTCTGAGTGCATACTTTGAAGAATCCTCGTAATAACCTTATCATTAAACATTTTTTTCCTTAGAACAGGGTCAGCGAACTTCTTTGTGTGGAGTCTGGTCAAACCCTGGTGGCAGCCATGTTTGTTTTTATTATTAAAGGAAGTTTACGTGCGTATTCATTCCATATTTGGAATTCGCATTTCCTTATATGGTAGAATGAAAATACTCCGTAAAATAACGCAAATTTACGGCACGGTGACAGATGTCTAATAATAAACAGTATCATCACAGTGCCTACATTCCCACTAAACAGGTACTGGCAGTATTGCCCCCAGCTGAGTGTATTTCACCATTTAAACATCTTAATCTGCAATTATAATACTGCATGGTTTGCAGCTAATTCGCACTCACTGTTTCAAAAATATAGGGAATTCCATTCTTGCATATGTGACCAAGCGTTTTAATAATTGTAGTGTAAAACCTATAACTCCAATCATAGTTTAAATTGAAGTTTTTTAATACTACCAATACAATTCAAATACTACAAAGTGAGTCATATCACTCACGTTCCTTAACTGCAAGAATATTTCAGCTGCAGCAAGTACACTAATGTTATAACACGTAGCTTGAATAATAGATTTAATAATTTGACTCAATTGGAGAATCGTGTGAGTTTCGTGTATACGGAAAACATACTTATGTTACTGGAGTCCAACAAGTGTCATATTTACTTATGGTATAATGCATTTATTTAGAGTAATTTGTCATCAACGTAATTCATGATCGCAAATGTAATATAGATCGCTGTAAGCAGCTCATAACACTTTTGTGAACTCCGTGAATTTTTGAAAGTAACTTGAAATATTAATTATTGAACCCACGTGCACGGCAAATGGGCTTCACCACTGTAAGCAGACGCCCTCCAGTTACACTGTACATTCTAAGTTCAAAGATGAAGCCAAAAACATTTTTTTTTACCTAACTGTGAAATTAGTTCGTATATTTTAAAATCACATTTTAAAGAATCGCATTAAAACAACATAGAACTGCTCTGTCGTACCTGACACAAATGTCTGTACACACGAATCTGTTAAAGTAAATCATGCGGGTATATTATCTAAACTTGATTAAGCAATTCTAAATAGACTTGCTGAAAACCTAATGAAACCTAATACAGCAAGAAATGTTACATCGTAGTACTTGGAATATACAAAGGTATGCCTAGTTAGGAAGACAAAAATAGGCTTTAAAACATATTTGTTCTCAAATCATCCGGTGTGGACAATAATTGTAGTGTCATTGTGTATATATTTATATACTGACGTTTTATGGTTCGATTAATCGATTTATTGTCGGATTTAATATTAAAATATACGTATGGTGACAATTGCTATTAAACAGCCCCTCTTAAGACGACTCGTGAAATAAAATTCTGTGCGCAGCTTGGCATGCTGGACACGTACCAGTGGAATTGTGTTTGTTTTGTTCGTAAATTCGTGACCGTGTTAGTATTCTAACTGAATAAAGATTGTGACATTTCTGTCGTCAAGGTTATACATACTAGTGCAGAGGACATGTAACTTGATACCTCAAAGATGACCCACATTTGAAATGCGTGGAAATGTAAGAGCAGCTCTTAGAATTGTTTCCCGTTTTTGTGGATTCATATGTAGTAATCAATCAATATGACCGTGTTTGTATTATAGCAATAAAGAAAATTTGTTAAAGCTCTGAAAAAACAAACATGTTATTGTATATTTATTTGGTTCAAGTTTGATGGAAATCAATTCACACAATTTGTACACACATTTTTACGAAAGCATGCCGAGAATGGGTCCGAATTAAAACCTCATTTTCACAGTCACTTCCTGTTGTTTATTGTCATTAACCTCAATGCGTGGACTGACGAGTTACGATGATTGCCCCTTAATCATGCGTTTTATTGCAAGTGCGTGGCTGCACGTAGCGGACATCAAGCTTGGAAAACATTTTTGAATTACTCTTCCAGTGACAATCACTTTTTAATGGTTTTATTACTGTTCAATGTTCTTTGAATAGTAATCTGACTAGTACATGCTACTACCATTCATTAGAATCGAATATAGAAAGTCGGGACGATGTAATAAAGTTGTGTCGTGCTGACCTCATTTCACTGACACACAATTGTGCATCTCGGTACAAAGTGAGCAGTGTTGTAGGTTCATATCCGTATACGGTGAGGAGAATCGTAAGTGTGTATCCGTATACTGTGAGTTATGATGTAGGCGTATATCAAAATAATAAGAACAGGGTTGTAGGTACATATTTGCATAGTGTACCCAGGGTTGCATCGCGGTACAAAGTGAGTAGTATTGTAGGTGTATATAAGATTAACAGGTTTGTAGTTGTATATCAGAGAACTATGATCCGCGTCGTGGATGTATATCAGTATACTGTGAGAAGGGTTGTAGGTGTATACCAGTATACTGTGAGAAGGGTTGTAGGTGTATACCAGTATACTGTGAGAAGGGTTGTAGGTGTATATCAGTATACTGTGAAAAAGGTTGTAGGTGTATATCAGTATACTGTGAGAAGGGTTGTATGTGTATATCAGTATACTGTGAGAAGGGTTGTAGGTGTATATCAGTATACTGTGAGAAGGGTTGTAGGTGTATATCAGTATACTGTGAGAAAGGTTGTAGGTGTATATCAGTATACTGTGAGAAGGGTTGTAGGTGTATATCAGTATACTGTGATAAGGGTTGTAGGTGTATATCAGTATACTGTGAAAAAGGTTGTAGGTGTATATCAGTATACTGTGAGAAGGGTTGTATGTGTATATCAGTATACTGTGAGAAGGGTTGTAGGTGTATATCAGTATACTGTGAGAAGGGTTGTAGGTGTATATCCAGTATACTGTGAGAAAGGTTGTAGGTGTATATCAGTATACTGTGAGAAGGGTTGTACGTGTATATCAGTATACTGTGAGAAGGGTTGTAGGTGTATATCAGTATACTGTGAGAAGGGTGGTAGGTGTATATCAGTATACTGTGAGAAGGGTTGTAGGTGTATATCAGTATACTGTGAGAAGGGTTGTAGATGTATATCAATATACTGTGAGAAGGGTTGTAGGTGTATATCAGTATACTGTGATAAGGGTTGTTGGTATATACCAGTATACTATGAGAAGGGGTTTGATATATCGCTGTATACTCTAAGAATGGTTATTGGTGTATAATCGGTATACTATAGACAGGATTGTAAGTGTCTATCACTAGATATTGAGCAAGGTCAAGGTCAATAACAGTTTTACTTACTTATATATCTGGTTTAGTGGTGCAGTTTGAAAATTAAATATCTTTTGTAAATAATTACCGTTAATATTAATATTCATATTTCTATACATCTTCGCTAGCCAAGGTCTAAGTTTATTCGGCCAAGCGTCTAAACAGACCTTGGCAGAACGACCACCAAATATGCGTATTCTAAAAAGCGCCCCCAGTAGTCAGTTGCGGCTAATCATTGTCCAATCAGTTTGCGTGTTACAAATCCTTCTTTGGCGTTTCATTTTAAACAAATCGACGGCGCCCATGAATCGTGATATTTGTGATGATAAAATTGCGAACGTTTTCGGTGTTGGTGTCCTTAGGCCTCATCAGGTACAGGCAATCGACGCAGTTGTGTGTGGGAAGGGTGTCTTTATAGCGACAAAACCAAGAAGTAGAATTTTGTTTTATAATTTGGTACGTCCAAGCTGATTGGGCGCCTTGTTTCGAGGCGCGCCCGATCAGATCTCACTGCTAAAGATATGCAATTAGCCTATGCGACCCCGCACGGTGTCGTGTAGAGGCCTATAGGTCGAAGACACGGGACCGTGCGATTCGGACGATGATTTCTATATTGTTAATATGTTTCTTAAAATGTACTTTTGGTGTAATTTAAAATGAGTACAATCATCTTCTAATTTACATATATGTTTAAAATCAATAAATCACACTTTATTTTAGGTTCTCCTATAAGGGTGTTAATTACTGTCACCGTATACAGGTATGAACTCATGAATATTTCCTTGTAAGATTTGTTTTTTTATTTTTCTGTGAATATGTCATTCTGTTTGAATTCATGTCCAGGCACGGTTATTGCTGATGCACAAGCGCAGTAGTTTGAAGTCACTTCAATATTTAAGTATAGTATGATTACGGTTGTAGGTGTATATAAGTATAATATGATTACGGTTGTAGGTGTATATAAGTATAATATGATTACGGTTTTAGGTGTATATAAGTATAATATGATTACGGTTGTAGGTGTATATAAGTATAATTTGATTACGGTTGTAGGTGTATATAAGTATAATATGATTACGGTTTTAGGTGTATATAAGTATAATATGATTACGGTTGTAGGTGTATATAAGTATAGTATGATAACGGTTGTAGGTGTATATAAGTATAATATGATTACGGTTTTAGGTGTATATAAGTATAATATGATTGCGGTTGTAGGTGTATATAAGTATAGTATGAT